AGAGAGAAAAAAAAAAACTCAAAACAGAATTTTTTTCTCCTATGCCTCTGTTTTCCAAATGCCACATCTGAAGAAATGAAACGGTGGTTTACCCTTATTAAGCTGTCCAATACTTTTCAGTAGTTTCACTTTTCTAAGAGTGATATATATATATATATATTAAAGATTGGCATATATGATTTATTGAGAAAGAACGCTTAGAATTGTGTTATATTATTATGCTGCAAACTTACATCATATAGTGTGTCGCCAAGCTTCAACTTCACAGCACCACTCCTGTATACTAACATTTTACCCATGAAGCCTGCTGGTAGTGCTTCCATACTACATGGCTTTTGAGATGGTCGAGCACCTTTAACTGGATTGGTGCTGCTGCCCTGCTCACGGTCTCCCGCATTATCACACAGATTTGTCATTGGCATGGCTTTTGGTAACTGAACAAAGAACATGCTGTCCTCCAAATTCTCCTGCAGCAAACCATTTTGTTAAAATACGGAGAAATTTATGTTGTCTTTGTGTTTTTATGAGAATCCATTCTTCTTATCCTTGAAGATAACCAACCATTAGACCAAGCTTTAGAGCTGGATTTGTTGCAGATTCATCATCAACTGATCTTGCCGAATTGTCCTCAAATTCTTCTTTATCAAGGAGTTCTACAAATAACATTATCAAGTGTTGCATCAACAACAAGGAAAATGCATGTTACCACTTCAAAGCCAATTTAAATAACTATGGGATTAGATTAGCAAAATATAGCAACATAAGCATGAATAAGTCATAAACTTGTATCTATAGAAAGCCTCTAATAATTTTCTATCTTTGTAGAAAACATGTTTTTCTAGATTTAAACAAGAAACTAACCTGGATTTCCCGAATATGGCCTTCTTAAGGGAAGCTGTGAAGGATAATAGGAGTAATAGTTCTGCAATAGCATCCAAAGAACAGTAAGGATCATATAGGTACAGGAGTTTTAGTCTTATGGAATTAGAAATTTTCTTCATATATATCCTTTACCCATGGTTCCTTGTACTCTTTCTCCACTCTCTGCTGATCACCATCGCCTGCACAAAGACGCATAAGATAAAATCTAGTTCAACATGTAGAAGCAAACTACAGCTAAGAATTTTCACTTGCCATCAGAAGATGATCCCAGTTTCTTGTTAATATGCTTTGCAGCACCATATGACTTGAGGGAAGTCGAAGAACCTCCATAACCGAATGCAACTTGAGTATGCCCGACTGCAGTAGCAAAAGGAAATTACAACATAAG